TCACAAGGGCGACCAAAAAGGGGTTGCCTTCGCCACACTGTGGCTTGAGGCACTGCACCAACTTGCGGCTGGCATAGCGCCCAGCTTAGGTTCGTCGGTGGCCCTGAGCATTGGGATTTAAAGGATTAAGGGAGGATTGGGAAATAACGGGTTGGGAGAGAGAGGTTTGGGGAGATAAAGGGGGTACAAGACGTCTCAGAGTGTGTGAAGGGACAGTGGGGAAAGACAATATGGTTTCGAATGCAGATTTTAAACCCCATGGTGATGTGTTTGTGGATGCGTGAAAACAAAAAAAAAGCCCAACCATGACCTCCGCCACGTCAGATGAGCCTTACCTTGATCTCTGCCACGTCAGACAGCCCTCCCACAGAGAAGCGGTAGAACTTGCGATCCAGGCGTTGGCGATGGAGCGACCAATGGACGTCTTTCCCACTCCTGGCGGCCCCACCAGGCAGATGATCTTGCCTGATTAAGAGCAACCACACACCAGGGGAAACAAGAGAAGAGAGACAAAGAGCGACAAGGGACGTGTGAGAAGCGGTAGAACTTGCGATCCAGGCGTTGGCGATGGAGCGACCGATGGACGTCTTTCCCACCCCTGGTGGGCCCACGAGACAGATGATCTTGCCTGGATGACGTGGCAACACACACGGGGTAACAAGAGAAGATACAACGGGAGACAAATGAAGACTGGGGTGATGCGGGACGAGGGAGACAAGGGCGAGAGTAGTGCAGTGCAGTGGCACGGCTGCTGCAAATTTTCAACCTTTCCACGGAAAATGTCCAGCCAGAACCCACACACACACCAGCAACCCCACCTACCCGGGCCACCCATTTCACCCACACCACACATACCGTGCGTGCTGCCTTTCAGCCTGCCAACAGCAATGAACTCCAAAATGCGTTCTTTCACATCCGTCAGCCCGTAGTGATCTGCATCCAGCACCTGCTGCGCCCGCACCACGTCCGATTCTCCTCGCTGACAAAAGGCAAGGACCGGGGATGGAAAAACGAAGGAACAGCGGATGAGGGAATGGGAGAGGGAACGGCAGCACCCGTGCGGTCAACCCGTAGTGATCCGCGTCCAGCACCTGCTGCGCCCGCACCACATCTAAATTTTCCTCGCTGACAGAAGGTAAACGGGCGCATGGGAAAATGGGGACACAAGGAGGTGCGGTCAACCCGTAGTGATCCGCATCCAGCACCTGCCGCGCCCGCACCACGTCCAAGTTCTCCTCGCTGCGAGAAAGCAGGAATGGGGGGTGTCAGTACGGGGGATGGGGGAACGGAAAGGAAGCAGCAGCGGGGTCAGCCCATACAGGCCCGCATCCAGCACCTGCTGCTGCCCCATCCACCCATCCACCCATCATCCACCATCATCCACCCTCATCACCCATCATCCACCCATCATCCACCACATCACCCATCATCATCCACATCATCCACCCATCTCCACCCAGGGAATGGACGTGAGCCAGTCGAGGTAGTTGAGCGTCACGTTGAACTCAGAGGAACTCGCCTCAACCCACCCATTGCCCATCCATCCAGCCCATCCATCCAGTCACCAGTCACCCATCTCCACCCATCTGCACCCTCTCCATCCCCCCCCCCCCCCCACCTGTAGTGCCCCAGGGAATGGACGTGAGCCAGTCGAGGTAGTGCGCGTAACGTTGAACTCAGAGGAGCTTGCTTCCAGCCCCTGCAGCTTCGCCATCTCGTCCTCTATCGACCTGGTGTGGCGATCCCAATGCGTGAAGGGTGTAATACAAGTTTGACTGAACTTGGGGTAGCTTTGGATTGGAGAGCAAGAAGACATATGCGCTCGCTCCACCCTTTTAGCGCTTCGCCATATCGTCCTTCTTGTATCTCCGTCTTGCTTGCACTTCCTCTATCACCTGGTGGCGGTTATTGAACACCTCAGGACGAAAGACGGAATACAAGAAGGAGCGAAAACGAGGAGATACAAGGGACATGCATGGAAGGGGGGCGGAGGAGGTACACAGGAGGAGCGATAGAGAGGAGGTTGTTATGGCGACGTCAAGATAAATCACACCACAACCAACAAATAGTAAGTAAATATTTGAGAAATTCTCACAACAGGTACTTCTTGCTAGAGCGTCGTGCAGGTACCTGCATGGCTGCTTCTGAGGCGCCTCAAAGTTGCTAGAGCGTCGTGCAGGTACCTGCATGGCTGCTGGCGGGCAGTTCTGCTGAAACGGCTGAAGCTTCTCCTTGAAGCGTCCTGGGCACACATGGGATGTGATGTGAGAGGCGAGCATGATGCAGGTGAGTGGAGAAAGGTGAAGAAGGTGACTTTTGAGTCGACTCAAAAGTCACGATGCAGGTGAGTGGAGAAAGGTGAAGGTGACTTTTGAGTCGACTCAAAAGTCACGATGCAGGTGAGTGGAGAAAGGAGAAGAAGGTTGCAGTGCCAAGCAAGAGAGTGGGATACATGCAGTCGTGGAATCGGATGGCATGGCATGACGTGGCATTGTAGCACGGCACAGGACAGCATGACTCACCAATGAGTGCAGTCTTGTCATCCTTCTCCAGCCCCAGCTCCTGAAAGAGCAGAAGAGGTGGAAGATGGGAGGACAGTGCATCAAAAGAGGCTGATGAGAGATAGAATGAAGAAGAAAACAAAGTCGAAGAAGGATGTCCTCCCAGATTAAAAAAAAAAAATCAACAAACAAACAAAACGGGGGTTACCTTTGGCATTGACTCAAGCTGTTCCAAGCATCGCTCCTCACTTACCTTCTTGATAGCCTTGAGCTGTTCCAAGAGCATGTACTGGCGACTCCCCTCCCAGCACACACAGGCCTCACCTGTTCAATCACCTCACGCTCTAGATCCCATCTTATCTTTTGATCCCCTCGCACCTTCTTGATGGCCTTGAGCTGTTCCATGAGCATGTATCTGCGGCTCTCCCCTGCCAATTTCTCCTCCACGCCTTTGGCTATGTTGGCCTGCCAGTGCACAAGGGAAGTGAGGACAAGGGAGTTGAGGGAAAAAAAAAAAAGAGAGAGGTTAGGCTTGTTCGTCAAGCGGTTCACGGATAAAGGAGAAAATAAGAAAGGTAGACACAGAGAAAACAAGGAAGGATGCGGAATGCACATGGTGAAAATGCAAAACGATGCTCAGAACGCACAAGCACATCACCCCTCACCTGCAGCTTGGCGAGCTCTAATTCCTTCTTGAGCAGCATGAGCGCAAGGGAGAGGCGCTTTCCCACCTGGGAGAGTAGGGATGGAAAGGGGGCAATTGACACGAGGGGAGGGAGAGGAGGAAGAAGAAGGAATCGGATAGAGGGAGAAATCAGGTGCAGGATCAGGGCAGACAAGAGCCCATGCATATGCTACACCACAGACAACAAACGCACGCACACACATCTAAGAGGTGACTTTTGAGTCGACTCAAAAGTCATCTCGTTACAATGTCACACAGTGCCAGCAAGAACCCATGCACCCACTACACCACAGACAACAAACGCATGCACACACATCTACAAGCACACATGTACACACATGTACACACATGTACACACATGTACACACATGTACACACATGTACACACATGTACACACATGTACACACATGTACACACATGTACACACATGTACACACATGTACACACATGTACACACATGTACACATGGTGCCACCACCACGACTCACATCCAGCTCTTCTAGAACCGACTGGAGTGTCGGCTCATCTGCGGTCGTGAGTGCAGCGCCAAAGTCAGCCATCCTGGAGGCGTTGAACTCGCCCACGTGCTGCACGAACAGGGCGATGTGCTCCTTCCTTGTACAGCGGTGGGTTGTGCCTCACGGGTGATGGCGACTCACACGCACACACATCTGCACACGATGCCAGGACTCACATCGAGCTCTTCCAGAACGGATTGCAAGGTCGGCTCATCCGCAGTTGTCAAAGCAGCCCCGAAATCCGCCATGCGGGAGGCGTTGAACTCGCCCACGTGCTGCACGAACATTGCATGTGCTCCTTGTACAGCGGGTTGTGCCTCACGAGGTCCTTGAGCGTGCTCACCACCTCCATCACCGTGGCTTTTATCATCACGCTGTTGCTGTCGTAGGGGAGATCCTGAGGTGAAGGGGGGGGTGCAGAGGGGTGCAATGTGTGTATGAGGGTAAGAGTTGTGCTTCACGAGGTCCTTGAGTGTGCTCACCACCTCCATCACCGTGGCTTTATCATCACGCTGTTGCTGTCGTAGGGGAGATCCTGGTATATGGTGGTGCGCAAGAGTGCGACGTGATGCAATGCGGTGCAGTGGGGTGCAAGAGGATGAAGGCTGGGGGCATCAGCACCATCACGAGTTCCTTGAGCGTGCTCACCACCTCCATTACTGTGGCTTTAATCATCACACTGTTGCTGTCGTATGGTAGATCCTGGAATGGGGCGCGGTAAAGACAGAGGATAGATAAGGAGGGGAAGGGACGGTGCGAAAGGGCGAAGGCAGGGTTGTGCCTCACGAGGTCTTTGAGCGTGCTCACCACCTCCATTACCATGGCTTTAATCATCACACTGTTGCTGTCGTATGGTAGATCCTGAGGTGCAGGAGAAAGTGTGGTCGGATGCAATGTGGTGCAATGTGGTGTGTAGGTGGGTAAAGGTCGAGACTCGAGAGTACCACCAACACGAGGCTGGGATTTTTTTTAGAATTCTCAAAAGGTCCTCGAACGTGCTCAGCACCTCGAACGTGCTCAGCACCTCCATCACCGTGCCTTCTATTGTCGCAACTGTTGCTGTCGTACGGCAGATCCTGGCATGAGCATGGGATGAAAATGAAGAGGTGCAGTGGGGTGCAGTAGGGTGCAATGTGTGTAAGAGGGTGAGGGTTTTGCCTCACGAGGTCCTTGAGCGTGCTCAGCACCTCCATCACCGTGCCTTTAATCGTCGGACTGTTGCTGTCGTACGGCAGATCCTGGTGTGTGGCGTACACTGAAAGAAAGCACCACTGACACTCCTCCTCCCACTCTCCCGAACCCATTTTCATCACATCCCACCCATTCCCAACCTCACATGGCCCACCACGGTGACATGCATAGAGCAGTCAGCAAGTCCTCTGCACTATGCCTGTCAACCTCCTCACACCACACATCACAAAAAGAAGAACTGCCACCCCAGTCACTCTCCCACCCACACCCACCTTCACCACATCCCACCCATCCCCACCTTGATATGGTCCACGGTGACCGTGAGCGGGTCCTCCCCCACCATGCCTGTCAGCCTCACCTCCACGATACGAGTGGCCTAGAGTGTCTATGAAATGAGGGAACCGTTCCCCACCCATCCCCACCTTGATATGGTCCACGGTGACAGTGAGCGGGTCCTCCCCCACCATGCCTGTCAGCCTCAGCCGCCGGTGCCCCATCAGCAGCACGCAACATGATCACACTATGGAGGATGGCCGCGAGTTTTGCGCGGCCTAGAGTGACTATAAGGAAACCGTTCCCCACCCATCCCCACCTTGATATGGTCCACGGTGACAGTGAGCGGGTCCTCCCCCACCATGCCTGTCAGCCTCAGTCGCCGGTGCCCCATCAGCAGCACCTGCGCTGAGTCGCCGTCCAGTGGCTTGATCACCTGCATCACCTGTAGAGGGAGAGGGGGAGGGAGGAGAGTGGGGAGTGGGAGAGGAGGGTGGGCGTGTGTGTTGGCAAATGGTGGTATTGCGGTACCACCAACCGCACACATGCCGGTGCCCCATCAGCAGCACCTGTGCTGATTCCCCGTCAAGCAGCTTGATCACCTGCATCACCTGCAGGGGGGGAGGGAGGAGAGGCGGGAGAGGGGGGGAGGGAGGAGTGCGAGAGGTGGAGAGAGGTGGAGAGAGGTGGCTTGATTACCAGCATCAACGGCTTGAGCACCCTTCCATTGCCTTCAAACCCCACTAAACCCACCCCTTGCATCACCACCGCTCTCCACCACTTCTCACCTGAGCGAACGTCCCTGTCTCGTGCAGCTTGCTATAAAGCTCCCCTCCCTTAATAAACGCCTCCCCTCCACCCCCACCCGCAACACCTTCCCCCTCCCCGGGCCCCTCTCCCACCCCTGCACCTGCTCCATCCGCCTCCCCATGCGGCTTCCCTCCCCCCACCCCTTCTCCCCCTCCACTAGCTACCTCCCTGCCCCACTCTTCAGCAACGCCAACGCCATCACTCCTCTCTGGGCCCAACTCTCGCCTGTCACTGCTACTGCTTGTGGCTGCTCCTTTTGCCCCATCTGCTCCCTCTGCTCCTGCTGTTCCGGCTGCACTAGGTGAAGGATGAGCGGCAGAAGAAGAAGCAGGGGCAGCGTGGTCGTCCCGGACAAGGAATGCGCCCACGTAGGGCGTGCCTTGCGCCTTGAGCTCCTGCAGCGCCGCCACCAGCTTGGGGTTCTGCAGCAGCCATGAGAAGTGGGGGGAGTGGAAGAAAGAAGAGAGGGGAAAGAGTGGGGACAAGAAGAAAGGGGAACGCGCCCACGTAGGGTGTCCCTCGCGCCTTGAGCTCCTGAAGCGCCGCCACCAGCTTGGGATTCTGCAGCCAAGAGGGAAAGGGGGGAAGGGGGAGGGATTAGGGGTTTGGGGAGTGTGGACGTAGGGAAGGGGGAGGGCATGCGGTGTAAAAAAGCGCTTGCATCAGCTTGGGGTTCTGCAGCAGGGAGGGTCGGCGGGGGGAGAGGTGGGGGGGCGGGCATGAAAACACGTAGGGGAAATTCGAACGGTACGCGCTCCCCTCCTTCCCTCCTGCACCTTGACGGTATAGAGAAACGGAACACATGCGAGGCCGCACCTTGACTATAACGGGGACGTAGAAGCCTGGGAACAGTGGCCTTCGTGTGAGCGGAATCGCGAGCACTTTCGGGTAATGCTCGGGGCGCGGACCTGCGGGGACGATGGACGTCTCTTCCGCCAACCCCCCCGCTTCGCCCGCTCCTTCCCCCGCTGCGCCTTCTCCCATCACAAATTCCGCCCCGCCTTCCGCGGACGCGCCAGCATTTTGCCCCGCAATCCCCACCACGGGATTCCCTTCCCCACGCGCGGCCGCCTCAGCGTTAGCAGCCGCTGCGGCGGGAGCGGAAGCGGCTCCCCTGACTTCCGTGGCTGACTTGATGCGCGAATCACGGCGTCTAATGCGGCCGCGCCGGGCGCCATGGTACCCTGCGTGCGCTACAGCATCCGCTGCGACTTCCTCCCCCACCGCTTCCGCCGATGCCTCACTAGCGGCGGCTTCCCCCGCCGCTTCCCCCGCCCCTTCCGCTGATGCTTCCGACATGCGCGCGGATTCTCCTCCGCCTTCCGCAACTACTTCCGCCGCAAGGCCCCTTCTCGCAGAATCCCCATTCTCGCTTGCATTCGGCGCATCCGCAGCCACATCCCCCTTCTTGCCTGCTGCATTACTCCCGTTCCCTGAATCTCCGCCGGCATTTGCGGTGAATCCGCGAACCCATCCTGTTCCGACGGCGGCCTGAGCCTGATCCCAGAGAACTAAGACTCGGTACTGGACTGGCTGTAGCGCGCGGTGCGCTGCGGATGGGTGCAGTGCGGTGCAGAGGACACGATCGAGGCGCCGTGGTAAGCACGGCTTTAAAGCTGCCAGCATGGCAACTAGGGATGTAGGCACTAGGCCACCCTACTGCCTAGCTATGCTGCCTACCAGGATCCGTGAATTAGGCGACCAGTAGCATTGAAATGATAATTGTGCCGATTCAGCACCAAATGAAGCAGTGGAGGTGAATGTGCTTTGCTAAGGGGTCGAATGCTGGGATTTTGCATCAGGAAACGCTTAGCTAAGAATTGTTAGTAGCAGCCCAGTTGCGTGAATCAGAAGCGAGTCCACGTGGAAAACTGACGACGCTCCTGGCGAATCGCCAGAATGTTCGACTTGAAGGGAGGATTCTCCACTAGCATAAGCCTCGATAATGTCTAGACACGAGAAACAGAGAACAGTAGGTACTGTATGCAAAACCTGGAAGGGAAAAGCCAGAATATAAATATTTTCACGGTCTGGATCCCACAGAGCCACAAGCTGCTGAAATGGTAACCGCGGCTACTTGTAGGGGCCGAAACGCCACTTGTTCGCGCCACTTTCTGCCTCGTGGATCGCCACAAGGAATCCAGCGGTTCAAACATGGCGGAGCGCCCTTGAGCAATCTCCATGCTTTGGTGAAGGCTACCATGGTGGTAACCGCTCGTGCACGGCGGAAATTGAAAGTCAGCCAATCAACGCTCCGACAGTCATCGACCGAGTTTTGCCGAGATCAGGCAGCCTGATCTTCACTTTCGCGCACAATATCCGACCAATCTCCGGGAGAAACGAGAGAAGGGCGCGTAACCATTTTGCACCCGACGGTTCGAACGTGGACCGTCCTGGTAGCGAATTGGTAACAAGCTTCGCAAAATGTCGTGATCGTGCTCCCTAAGGTGTTGGCGACATCGCCAGCAAAACGGACTGTAGTGACACTTTTTCCCACTTCAACGGTCCGAAATCTGAACCGTGGACGGTCCGAATCCCAAACGGACTGTCCAACAGTCCTTGCTTTTTTTTTTTTTGGTAGGTGAAATATGCACTATACACGTACAATGCAAAAACACCACGGTCGTAACCGGTGCTAGAGGGCATAGGTAGTGTATACTACCGTACCCTCCCAGATCTCTACGGAGGCTTATAGACCAAACGCCTAAACATTTCAGCTTGCCCGCCACAAAAACTTATTGTGCCGTTGTCACACTTCAGTACTTGCAGAAGCATCTCGATACATTCCTCATGCTGGTCACAATTGGAGGGCGACGCAAAAATTGTCGAGTCACCTCTTCCACCAACAAAAACGTACGAGGCTACTTCACACGAATCGACATTGACCAACCAGAGACAACCCATAAACAAAAATTATTCGATAACGACGTTTGCGAGCTTGAGAGAATTGCGTAACGCTCGTACAGAGATCGTGAAACTGTACATTATGAAAAAAGTGTCACAACTGTCTTCGGACAGTCCGAAGTTGCAAAAAAGTCAGTCGGACGGTACCGTTCTCGATAGGTGGACCGTACTTCGTTTTAAGCGGACTATCCGTCAAAATCGTAAAATGCAAAATGGTTACGCGCCCTAACGCCTTCTGACAGGCGTGAGCGTAGGCGGGAGGTTACTGGAACCGACAAAAGTCAGCGGATCTGTGGGTGCGGTGCAACCGAGTCGCACATCTCCGTTGTCATTGGCACCATTGACCCAGAAACAAATTGGCACCTTGTTGCTCAGAAACAAATTAAACCACGCTATATGACTTTTCCACCGTTTTCACATCGTACGAAACCGTAGTTTAGTGGAGATTTCTGGCACCTCCTAGTGGGTTGACACTCCACAAGAACTAAAATCATGAGGCCTATGTCCGGAAAAGAAGGGGCACTGGCACAAGAAAGCAATGACAAGAACGAATCGATATGGGTTGGGGATGTAGCTAAAAGAGCAACCGCTGGGCGTTTGAAGGTATTCCGCAGAATCAGCGAGGTTCGCGAATAACAGGACGCATCAGCCGGAGGGGTTAGATGAAGCGTTAGCCGGAGGCAGTCATATCCGCTCCATCACAGCAACGTCTGCTGTGCTCATTGCGCTCTGCGCAGCCGTTTAATGGAGTCACGCATATACTCGGTTCGTAAATATCCGTACCATTCGTGAATAGGAAGCACGAACCTCGAACTCACCGTTCACCATTGACCAGAATTTCAGCTACTTTAGGTTCAGGATTGAGGGATACTAGACAGCCTCATTCGTCCGACGAATTAGCCATTCCGTTTCCTCGTTTGCTCAACCCAATCCATACACTATCGTCAACACACCCACTTGAGGCATTTCCTAAGTGCCTCGGATTACGAAAGAATGAGTCCGAGTCGTTGCCACCCCGTCGAACCAAACACTCCCAGCAAAAGCACCAGCGTCGTCGGCGTGATAAGCAGCTGTTGGTCCACCCTAACCCCGAAGAACCTCCTTCCAGGCGACGTCATTCTCGCGCTTCACCCTGTCACAGTCTCTTATTTCCCCGAAGATGCAACAGCACACACGGTGTTCAGGCGGACTCCGACTAATCTGAGTCTGATCCGTCAAGTGCGCAGTTTGCGTCGTCTGGTGGACATGGTCGCCGTGGGATATGCAGTGGGAGCGTTTCGTGGATGCACGGCGATGCTCACGGTGCTTCGGGGGACCAGGTAGTAATGTCTTCACGAATAATGATAAACAAATTTTGCGGTCTCACGATTCTCTCCTGTCTTTCTTTTCCCTGTGTTCTCGTATTGTTCTGTTCTGTTTTGGTTTTGATTTTCCTTACTCTTTTGGTTTGTTTTTGTACTCGTTTGAACTCGTCTTTTCACCATCTGTTATTTCCATCTTTACTCCCTGTAACCCGAGTAACCTCTCCTCCCTGGGCAGCAAATTCATTATTACAGTGGAGATTTCGCCATCAGCTTTGGTGCAGGAAACCGCATCTCAAAACACGGAGGCTGAAGCAGCCCTAGCCGGATTCCATTCAACCTTGAGACTTTCAAGCCGTCCGACTCCTTGCGGTTCGTCCATTTTTCAAGGCGTGACCATAGCGGAAGGGAGCCACGAGCTGTTTGCTCCCCTTGCGAGAAAAACGGAAGCCACTATTCTCCATGTCGATCGGCTCAAGGCGTTTCGACACGCTACCAGCAAAACATCATGGCCGCGACCCGTGAACCTTTCAGGAAGGCAAATTCAGGAGAGTCCTCGTCGGACAGCAGTGGCAGCGGCTGCTATAAGCAAGGGTTCAGCTGCAGAAAAGGAGTCGATGTGCCTGAAATTTCCCGCACAGGCGAGAAGAGAGGCAGCTGCATGCCATGGCGGATGCAATCTAGGGGCAATTCAAGGGTTAACTGAATACAATTGCGGAGCTGACGGCTCGTTCGCTGGCTGCTTTATCATCGAATGGGGGCTGGCGTCAAAAGCAGGGTCCGTGGGGAAGGAGAATGGCGCTCCTCCATTTAACAGTGCTGATGCATTCGTGGCGTCGTGTGCTGGAAAAGACGACGATGAGCCGCTGTACCGGCCACTGCTGGTGGATTTCAGCCGCCGCAGGTGGCAGAGGAGGGTTGGTGACATGGCAGTACGTGGATCTGTCTGTCAGGATGATGCTGCAGGATAAGGGGTTCAAGAAGCTCATCTGGACACTGTTGAGGTGAATGGAGAGGATTGGTTGTGGCAACTGCATTGGGTACGTGGAGAGGGGTGGTTCTGGAAGCAGTGGTGTTTGGTAGTAAATAGGAGGAGCTCTTGTGGCATATTCTTAATAGGAGAGTGGGTACCTGAGCACGGATCGGCCCATGGAGGATGGTGCTGGAGCAGCTGGAGGATGGATGGTTCCGTCGACCGGGATGGCGTCATCAAATAAGAGGGCTTTCTAGTTTCGATTCTGAAGCCAATCAACGCCATGCGGAGTACCACTGCAAACGGTAATACACGCAGGCTTGCTTGCAGCTTTTCCTTTTGCATTCACAAGGCAGCTACGCATAGGAGTGACAGAATCTTTGTCCAGCGGTTGTTAGCTTGTCTGTCTCTTAGCTGTGGCCTTGTGAATGCAAAAGGGGGAGCTTGATATGCTTTTTCCTTTCGTTCTGAGTGGTGCAACCTCACACACTGTTAATATTCTCATTGTGGGTTCTGTTGCGTTTCATCTCTTAGCCTATACTTAATTGCATATACCCAACACACACTCTAACCAGAAACTCGTGTAGACCTAGCTCCTGCGGCATGTCAGGTATCTACACAGAAAGCTGCTACGCTCTTCCCACCATAGTCCGCAGCCAGCATCATTTCAATCAGCCAGCATTCTTCAGCCTTGCCCTCCAATTCGTCATGTCAGAAGGAGCTAACGTAAGAACAGCACCAGGCCCAACATTGTAATCTGACAGGAGCTTGTGCGCATACTTCATGTATGCTGCCTGATTCCCACAGAAATATACCTGGTTCAGGTAGCAGAACGGTTTCATCCAACGGCCCTCGTGAAGCAGCATCTGCTGGGAGGTAGGTATGCCAGTGAATTTCTGGATCGTGGACATGACGGATTCTACGGTCGCTTTGGGAGATTCCACTTCCAGGACGTAAAAGCTGCCATCGAGGGAGTTTTTTATCAGCAGCTGCATGAGAGTTGCGATCACGGAAGACCTTCGCTGCCAGATCAAAATCCAAAGCTCCAAACGTAGCTGCGGTCCCAGCAATTCGACTATGGTGACGCGTCCCGTAATTAATCAGGAACCGCACAGAAGGTCGCAGGAGTCCAAGCCGATCATTACGTAATCGATAACTGAAAACAGTTTTTAGAGGTCCGAATATGACGAGGTCCATTTTGGCAGTGAAGAATGCGTAACGCATTTAGAAAGGTCACAGGTATCGAGCGCTTCGGCTCTGGTGTTTTACCGAGAAGCAACGTGGAATTATAAGACGGCATTAGGTTGCTGGCCAACATGCACGCTGAATCTCGAATCGCGATAGTGAGTTTCGGACCGCATCTTCCGCTGAAGCACGTGGCGAACTCTAACCAGGTGTATGCGACACGCTACATATTTACCTACTGTAACATGCTTCGCGAATTACACTCCAGGCAATCCATGCGTGGATGGCCCCTTGGGAATTGTCTGCCAATTCATCCCGTACCTGCTAAACCTACCCTGTTATCTGCATGGCTGGACACACTGGTCAACCCCGAACCTGGCTAGTCTTGGTTTGGCGGATAACCTGGGTCTTCAGAAAGGGACCACCAAGCCAGAAGTCCCAGATTTGGTGGTTCGGTTACACTGTACCTTGATGCTGCCTTCCAGCTCACCACAGGCTCGGAACACGTGGTGGTGGCGACAGTGAACAGCTGGCTCCTGGTTGTTCACGCCTCTCGCATTCGATTGGTTGATCGCAATGCTCGCTCAAATTGCTGCCACACAGATGTCCCGCCCAGCAGCAGCTGTTGTCCCTTCACTTCTCTATCCACCAACCAACCATCCCAATTTTGTTCTCGTCAGTTTTCCCAAAGGGAAAGCGGCCAAGTCGGGGAATTAGGACGGGTATAGTAAAACAGCTGGTGGTCTCGTTTCCCCCTTTTGCAGACGAGTGTGTACAACCCCACACCGTGAGGAAAAACACTTCAACTTTCGGAAAACTTCTTTACCGAGGGTCCTAAACCCGACACCTTTACGATGCCTCCACCCAGTTTCATTTCGAAGGGTGTTCGACATTTCCAAGAGGGCGTTTCCCTCTTCCCCCTCTCCCTCCCCGAGCCCAACACGGGGATGGCTGGATTCGCTATCCGAGGCCCCCAAACCAACACCATTCCTGAGGCTTCGTACGTTCAAACAAACCCAAGGAAAAGCCAGAAGAAACCGACATTAGCATTGAGCAACACTTGTCCATGGAGCAGGGATGCACCTCACAGCAAGTCAGGAGCAGCATGCTGTTGTGGAGTAACGGTTACAACCAGAATGACTGCACGCTGGGCAACTTGCTCGCCATACTGTTCCATACACTCACGAAGCCGAAGCCTCTCGTGCAGGCATGCACATTTGACCAGCAGACAAACCATTCTCCCTGTCCCTCTCCATCCCATCCCACCTCATCTGGAGCAACAATGTGGAAAGCACGCCGTCAACGCATCGACTTCTGTTTTTTGCATTCCTCCGGTTTCAATATCAACATCAACCCCGTTCGTCCTAGATTTTGCGGTTGTCACTTCGCGGTGTGAGTGGTTCATGGACATATATACGGTTCGATACTCCGTAAGCCATTCTAACTGTGAGATATCGTCCTGCGAGTCTTCTGTTCTGCCCGCTGACGTATGTCTGCCATCCATCGCCGTTCGTGAATTCATAGTAACTGCTAAAGCTGACCCAACCCGCTACGCTCCGCATGGCCAACCCGTTTCTGCTTCACCGCATGACTGTAGCTCCTTATTAGCTTCAGTTAGACTTATCTCAGAACCATCCGCTAGCACGAACCCTGTTTTTTAGCCGTTGCGGCCTACTCTCACGGTCAAACCAATATTTTTTTCTCTACAGTCTCTGTATAAAAGTCGGCGTACGGGAAATAGGCTCTGTAAGATTCTGCAGCTCCCTTAGTGAAGAGATGCCAAATCACTAAAACAGAGTCACTCTCCGTACATGGTAGTGAATTACGGCTTAATAGCAGCTAGCTTCTAAGCCTTCTCAGCCACACTCACACGCGCCGGCGCTCTTTACCTGTCTGAACCCATTTTCATCACTCTCTACACCTTTCATATTGTTGCTATGCCTCTGTCCAAGCGCGTCGACCGCCTCTACGGCGTGGGTGACGGCCGCACTGTCGTCCTCGCCGTCGACACGTGCAAGGGTTGCATATCCGCGTTTGAAGATCTCCTCGCTACAGGCTACAAGTCCACCTCGTTCCTCGGTACGCACGAGAATCCCGCCGCGCGGGGAGAGTTCCGCCTATCCCCCGCGGACCGCCTAATCGTCGTCTTTCACCGCGGGCATCACCTTCCTTCTCCGCTGCTGCTCCGCCGCTCGCGGAGCGACGTCGCCGCGCAGCACCAGCAGCTGCTAACAATGCTTCCGCCGCTCACTTCCCCTCATCTCCCACCGACCGCGCAGCCGTCCCCGCACCAAGCCTCCCCGCAAAAAACGACCGCGGCGATGTTCTCATTCCTTACAAGTCCCCGCACGCGGTCAGGCACGTCAAGCCAGCAGCATCAGCCGCACCAGAAGGCACAGGGCCAATGGCCGCGGTCTTTATCAGGTAGCCAGCAGCAACAGCAGCAGGAACGGCAGCACCAGCAGCAGGTGCAGAATCTGCATGCGCCGAATCACTGGCCCAGGTCGCGTTCAGAGGCGGGAGCAGGAGCAGCAGCAGGAACCGCAATGGCGGACGGAAATTCACCCCCCCCTGCTGTCGGTACGTTCTTCGCCTGAAACCCTTAGAAGTAGTTAAAAAATGAACATCCTCTAAAAGGAAACGCAATGGCGGACGCTAGTTCAGCCCTTTCCCGCCCCCTCCCCCCTCTCCGACGTTGGTACGTGCTTTCGTTGCTTTCGAGAATTCTCGAAATTGTCTTAAAAATGAAAATTCTCGAGAGGGACCGCAATGGCGGAGGGCAGCTCACCTGTCCCATGATGTCGGTACGTTCTTTCCTTGCCGTCTTGTGGGCTTCCTTGGTCATAGTGGTTAGTAATGCATGGGGGCCTCCCACTGACATCCTCTTTTTTAACGTCTCCGTTACAGATCACCCTGCGGCAGCACATAGCCAGCAGCTCGCCACGTCGACCGACAGCAAGGCTGACGTGGAAACCGTGGTTGTGGTCCCATCTACGCCTGCTAAAGAGGTGACTGCAAAGCTCGCTCGATTCCATGGGCGGACGAAAGCGGCAGCGCTGAAAATGGCCGCCATGGCTCGGTCTTACAGGGTACGTATGTGTGTATTGTGGAAGGTAGTGTGGAAGGTGTACCTTAAGTGCAGCAATGTAGCTTTAGCATGTTATGCCTGGCGCGATGAGTGAAACAATGTGCTGGCGAGGTTTAGGGGATCACCTTTCCCAAAGCAGATATGAAAAGTGTCGTCTGTCTGCAGATGTTGTGAACACTAGGATCTGACGCCTTCCCTGTCCATCCTTGCAGGTGCGTTTTGAGGCTATTGATCTGGATGACCTCCAAGGATCAGCTGCGCCTGAACTCAGCACCACATCGCCCCAAATGGTTTCCAATTTCAGCCCAAGTTTGAAAAACAGAGGAGCTGGGCCAGGCTGGGATCCACATTCCCAATTGTCCCAGCAACAAGCAGCTGTCCCTGCAGTCCGTCTACCACAACCACTCCCGCATACCTGGGAAGGCACAGCTCAGGCGATCCTTGCTTTCTGTACTAGGATGGGTGCGGATCACTTGCTTCTGCCTGCCTCGCATGTGTGCGGGTTGAACATTGGGGCTTGGTTCTCCTGCCGGGGCCTGACGACACACTGTGTGAGGAATTCTCCGTGTCCAGTTACGACGCTGGGCACCACCAACCGCACAACAGAGGGATTGCGGGTTCAAGTAGCATCCAGCTGATAGGCAGGAAATAAGTCGTGCTCTTTAGAGTTAGGTGTGGAAGGCAGGCTTTTGTGTGGAATGCTCGCTCGTGGTAGGAGCTGTGGGCTGCACATTGCCTTGCACACCTCGTGCACAAAAAGCTATGTAGAATCTTGCTAGATTGTACAGGCTAATGTCTTTGCTGTTTGATGTTTGCTTATTTCACATCAAGTGTGAAATCGAAGTCAATTTCAGAAAATCTATCGCTGCCTGGCTTTCTGTGCTAATAGCGGAGATATCTGACGGCAGTTGCGACGCGCAAACTAGCAGAAGCAGCCGGTCGTTACCCTGTGCTTGTATGTCATTGGGAGACAGAACCTCGGGAGTCACGACATTTCGGGAGATACAGCGAGTTTGACGACCAGGCCTTCAACCTGACGGTTTGGCGGACAAGTGAGGCAGCCAAGGAAGGAACGATGCCTCAGGATCTCCCGAGGCCTGGGAGGTAAAGGGGTTGGAAGATGGACGGTTGGATTGGACCATCAAAACTACCTGCAAGCTCCCAATCCCAGCGATGTTGCTGAAGTAGTTGGTGGTCCGTGGATGTTCCCAAGGAGGAGTTCGGCTGGCCTGGCTTCACCGCTAGACCTCGGAAAAGTTTTGCCATGGAGTCAACCAGGGTTATTTGATGTTTTGTTCACTCACTGGGATTGTGGCTCACTGCAGGGCAAGTCTGACGAGGTAGCAGGCTGGCCTAGGTTAGCTTAGCATAGCTAGGTCTTGTTTCGTGGTAGTAACCTCTGTGGTTTCCCATCTGACGGGTGATCCTCCTGTCCTTATTCTTTATCAAGGAAAGCCTACGGTGGAATCAGGAAGCACTCAGACAGGCCAGGCCATCAGCACAGCTGACCACCCAACAGCGGCACGTTAGTGCTCTTGTAGTACTCGTTCGCCTCCTCGTCGTCAATCTCAGTGCACAGACAATAAGCAACCATGAGGCGACGACATGAGTCCACCTGGGAGAAGCTGTTCCACTATCGCGGGGTCATCGTCGTCGTTTCCGTCCCAATCTTCCTCATTATCTTCATTATTCTATTTATGCCTCACGGGGAGCCTATCACGGACGACCGCGTCATCCATCACAGCGCAGCAGATGAAGTCAACAAGGCGGTGGCGAAAATGCAATCTGGAGGAGAGAACAAGTATGCCGTCATTATCGACGCCGGAAGCACTGGGAGCCGGATCCACGTGTACCAGTTCAACCCCAATCTCGAACTGATGGAGATCGGCGATGACTTGGAGTTGTTTGTTGCGGTACGTGTCTGCCCCTCTAACTTGCTCTAATTTAGAACATGGCTTCGAAGAACTAATAACATTTGCAGTTCAGGTTGTCACTGCCATGTTAGAATCAATGGGTCGATGGTCCAGATCTCGTCCTCCGAAGACGTCCTTTCCTGATCTTGGCAAAAAAATCGGTTCCTACTCCCTCCCTCGCAATGTCATCATGCGAACTTTAGGCATTGACGTTTCTATTTTCCTTATCATCTCTCCACTGACATATCGATACTCGTAACTTTTGTTGTCACCATCTGCGTTGCAGCTCAAGCCAGGTCTGAGCTCGTTCCGCGAAAACGCCAAAGGAGCGGCGGACTCGCTCCGTCCGCTTATCGACAAGGCGCTCACCGTCGTCCCTGAGGAAGTCCGCTCCACCACGCCCATCCGCGTCGGAGTGAGTCTCGTTATTGGAAATGCGGTACACCGCACAGTGTTGGCGTGACAATGCGAGCTCCGATTCTCCTGTACTATCTTTTGATATCGTGATCCGTTGTGCTCGAGCTTCGCTCTGAGATCTCAGGCCAGTCTGTCGTTTTGTCTTGCTGAGAATCACTGACATGCAAGCTGTTTCCCCTGTGCAGGCAACGGCTGGTCTGCGCCTTCTCCCTGGTGACCTCGCTGACAACATTCTCCAAGCCGTAAGCTTTTTTACGACCCGCCATTGGTTCTCGCTCATCTCCCTCCTTTACTGTTCAATTGCATCGAATCTCTTGACCATCGAAGCCCTAACAGTCCCAGCTGTTTGTTCCGTCTCTAGTCCTGAAGATTTCCTCCTCACGCGTCTGACTCGCCCTCTCGCCCTCTCAATATCTCGCTCTCCTCAGGTCCGGGAGATGCTCAAGGAGTACCCCTTCACCTTCGCTGCCGATTCCGTCAAGATCCTTGATGGCGCCGACGAGGGTTCCTTCGCGTGGGTGAGTGCCTGCCAGGGTTTTGTTCTTCACACACACAGGAAGATCGCTAGAAGCAGCCGCCTTCCCCTCCCTTGGTATGCGCGTCCTGATAGATTTGCTTGAATCCCGCTGTTGCATGAGAAGTTTGTGCTGGAGGCTGATTGTCAGTGCATGACCAGCTAAAACCCCTTGTCGGCCCAGGCTTTCGCTGTTCCCCGTCTAGCCTTTGCCTCGCCCCGACAATACCCTTCGCCAAAGTCCTAACCATATCTTCAAGCAACAGTAATCTCGCAATAAAACGCGGAGGTAAGTCCGAGCTACCTGTGTGTGTGCGGCCTTGGCGAGGACATCGGACATACGGGGGGTATGGCCTGGTTATTCTCAAAACGGGCCCGGCATCCTCCGTCTCTCACAACTTTCAATGCAGGTGGCGGTGAATTACCTCCTGGGCAGTCTCGGTAAGGACATGGCCCACATTCGTGTGGTGGATCTGGAAATTTGAAGTCTGCTTCACTATTCTCCCTCTCTTATCCATTCGCCCTGCAAGTGACGGTCAATTACCTCCTCGACAATCTCGGCAAGGACATCAGCCACATGGTGGGATGGGAGTGGTGGATCTGGAAATCTGAAGTCCCCTTCACTATCCCACGATACTCTCGCCCTGCAGGTAACTGTGAACTACCTCCTGGGCAATCTCGGCAAGGACATCAGCCACACAGTGGGGGTGGTGGATCTGGGCGGCGGGTCCGTGCAGATGACGTACGCGGTGCCTGATGACGTGGCAGCGAAGGCGCCCGAGGGTTACGTTCGGAGGCTGAGCGGAATGGGCAAGACGTACGGGGTTTACGTGCACAGGTGAGGGCAACGAGGATTTTACAGGATGGGCAAGTGTACAGAATATGTGTGCAAATAGGGGATTTGAATATGGCTGACAATGGGGTTCCAGAGGATTCAAAGGGTAGCTCAGGAGAAATCATGACAAAACGTATGGAGCCTACGGGAACATGTGGGGACAGAGATGGTCTTGCAAACGGTTGACTCACACAATCTACGCAGCCCCAAGAGTTGTGCTTTGTCGGGCTTGGCTAGCAAGTGTGGTAACCTGTGTGCGAATACAGCAGAACTGTGTGGTAATAAGCGTGCACGCCTCGAAACCGTGTTATTGGAAGAACTCAGTCGTCTACCCTTGTCTTCATGCATGCGCCGTCGTTGCATGTCCTGTCTGCCATCCCCTCCCCGTTTCTTAATTCCTCAATGAACCCCTAGTTATCTTGCCTTGGGTCTGATGGCAGCTCGAGCTCACGATTATTCTACATAAAGAGCTCAGTAGTTTTCTTTGTGGAGAACTTGCTTTTCTCCCCGTCAACCGTGCTCCATTGTCAAATCGAAGTTGCTGTGTGGCATGCCCTCCCCTTCCCTCAATGAACCCACACCTACCTGGGCTTTGGTCTGATGGCAGTGTTCGCTCAGGTGCTCAAGGCAGAGAACTTATGCCCTGTGGGATCCCCTTGTCTTCATCCGTGCTACTTCGTTGCATGTGCTGTGTGGCATCCCCTACCCTCATCCCTTGATGAACCCCCAGCTACCTGGGCTTCGGACTGATGGCAGCGCGCGCTCAGGTGCTCAAGGCGAAGCCACCAGGCAGCGAGGGACATGCATGCTTACCCAAGGGCACTGACGGTGAGTGGTGGGGAAGAGACAGAGAGGTGGTGGAGCAAAAACGCAAGCAAATAAGTGGGTGTGTGTGAGGGACATGCCCGCTCAATGGAAGTGACAGTAGTGGCGATGAGGGTTGAGGCAGAGAAGAGTGTGAGATCTATGCACATCAGGACGTGGCGTGCTACTCACTGGCGGCGTTGGTTAGTGGTGAGGCAGCGAGAGGATAATGGTTTTTCGTATGCAAGCATGAGTAGCGGGGGGCATGTGTGCCCCTGCCTAAAGATTGCGATGTCATATGCAAGCATGGGTAAGGAGGGAGGGGGGGGGGGGGGGGGGAGGGGGGCAAAAAGTGATGTGTGCCCTGCTTTAGGCTAAAGATGATGCATGGTGAGCAGCACGGATCGTGAAGAGTATTTGTGTGATCTCCAGGGGGGGAATTGTGAAGAGTGCAATCAACGTGAATGAGAGGCATGCTCATGTGCCGAACAGCTCTGGCGTTGATTGGTGGGGCACAGCAGGAGGAAGGAGCGTCTTTGCAGCTGCAAGTGGTGTAAACACTTTGGCTGCATAAACCAAATTACGATTGGATGGGAGTACTAAGAGAGCGTGTATAGCCCCTTACCCTTCCAACCAAACCCTCCCATCAGACAAGTACGTGGACGGACGGCACAGAAAAGGTCAATGCTGTGGCTCTGTCAGCACGAGGGAGTGCCACAGAGTATGCAGAATCTGAGGTAGTATCCCCAGAAACACTTTCACCCCTCTTCCTTCCTCCCCTACCCACCAACACCACCCCACCCCCCTCAAACCCTCCCACCAGGCAAGTAGGTGTACGGCACAGAGGAAGTCAAGGCACGGGCGCTGCCAGTAGCAGGAAGTGCCAAGAGTGTGCTTGTATCCCTGGTAATGTCTCTGCTTGTATCCTCTCTAACACTTACACACCCCTCCTCCTCACCAACCCCAACCCCCCTTCCCTCAAACCCTCCCACCAGACAAGTACGTGTATGGCACAGAGGAGGTCCAGGCACATGCGCTGCCGACGGGAGGGAGTGCAGCGGAGTGTGCACTGATCGCAGCAAAGGCGTTGGAACTGGGAGGGGCCCTTGCTGGCGACCCTGCTCCGTCGTGCTCCTTCGAGGAGTGCACATTTGGAGGGGTGTGGAGTGGTGGTCGGGGTCAGGGCGCGTCGAAGCTCTTCATTGCGTCGTACTTCTTTGACCGGGCTGGCCAGGTAAGCTGCTGCTGGTGTCGCTGCTCCGTCGTGTTCCTTGGAATAGTGCATATTAATGGGGTGTGGAGTGGTGGTCGGGGTCAGGGTGCATCCAAGCTCTTCATTGCCTCGTACTTCTTTGACCAGGCTGGCCAGGTAAGCAACTCCTGGCCATGATGCTCCTGTGTGCTCCTTTGAGGAGTGCACGTTCGGAGGGGTGTGGGAGAGGGGGTCGGGGCGAGGGTGCTTCCAAGCTCTTCATTGCTTCATACTTCTTTGACCAGGTGGGTCAGGTAAGCTGCTGCAGGTGACGCTGCTGCTGCAAAGGGGATGCACTTAGGGTGCGTCAGATCCGCTACAATGTGATTTGGCTGCAAATTTGTCGCCCTTTTGGTCGACTATATTTTTCGCCAAAGTCGACCGAATGGTCGAATGGTAAACCGACCACCATCCAGCCACATTTTCAAGGTGTTGCAATCTGACAGATTTGGTGGCTCATTTACAGGCCGGTTTGCAAAAGTGTCAGATTTGCAGGTCGCACAGTTGGCCGGATTGTGCGACGGAGTCGCATGTATTGTTACTGAAGTGACACAACCCCGAAATGTGGTCTTGTTCAACGGCGCTGAAAGCGCCGCGCGCGTCGTCCTTGTGACACCTTGAGTCGCTTGGGTATGTTGGCCAAGTCGCATAGGTACTGTAGCGCTGACGAGTCGACAAAGTGGTCGACCCTCGATTCGTTTGCACGTCGGAAAGTTGTCGAATGCTAAACCGGCCATCAAATCGGCCATCAAATTTTTATCAGGTGGCCGGATTGTGCGAAGTTAACGAAATACCCTGCGAATGTCGTGAATGTGTAACCTTCGCTAGATCCGGCCGGCCGGATTTTTCCGACAACGGATCTGACGCACAATTAGCAGTTGTGGGCTCAATCCACTGTTCTCCGACTTTCCCACCAAGATTCCCCAACCTCTGATTCTCTGGGTTCCCTACTCCCCCCTGCATTCTCCCACTCCTCCCCTGCGTTCTCCCATTACCCTACTGTGTTCTCCCACTTTCCCCCTTCGCTCTCCCACTTCCCCCCTGCAGCTTGGCGTTATTCCCGACCCCAAGGCGTCATCAGCTCCTGTCAAGGCAAAGGACTTCGCAGCGGTAGCTGAGGCTGCCTGTGCTACACCCTTGGAGGAAGTCACAAAGAAGTTTCCTGCGGTGGAGGGCAAGGACGCTCCATACATGTGCCTGGACGTGGTGTACCAGCACAAGCTGCTCACCCATGGCTTCAGTAAGCATTCCTTATAACCTGTAATCATTTTATTTTGCATTTGTCATTTGCTGCTTTATTCTTCTGCTTTTGCTCCTCGTGTGGTGTCTGTGACAAACACGTGATCCTAAATTGGCTCTCTTCGTCCTCCACTGTTTTTTCAGGAATTGATGATGCAGCAGAACTTACGCTGGTGAAGCAGGTCACGTACAAAGGCAAGGATGTCGAGGCAGCTTGGCCACTTGGTGCTGCCATTGATGCTATTTCGTCTTAGAGTAGCATTTGGATCATTGTAATATGTACTGAGTGCTGGAAAATGCTGTATTGAATTCTGGACGAAAGCACCTTCAGCTCCCATTCTGAACTAGGTAGAGTTCAGCAGTAAGGTTCATGGTGTAATTCTTAAGTTTTGTAACAAGTTTCATTAGTGGTACCTACGGTCAAAGTTTTAGACCTAGGTACTCAGTGTCAGGGGTGGATAACTAATGCTGTGGTCAGCTTTTGAAACTGCCAGCTAATCCTTCTGCTGAGTGAGCACACCGACCAAAAAGCGTCAATATCGCTTTGCACTTTGTCATCAACCACGTGGAATTCGCAAATCTTTTCAGTGAACAGATGGAAAGCGTCAGTTATTTGCTGTAATGTCTGCCGTGCTGTCGTAAGATCCTCTCACTTGCATTACCACTAGTGTCCCAGCCTCTAGGGAAACCCGCCTACGTGGACTCGCTTGACACCCGTCGAAGCTTCAGAGTCCTTTCTAATGCCCACAAATTTCGACAGACCGTCCAAGGATAACGTTAAGTCCGGGTCAAAGAGGATAGAACTCTGCTTTGCTTGTGTGGCTCAGAGCTCATCACCTCGCATGAGGACCTGCTTTGTCGTCGTGTAATCTGCTGCGATTGTTTGGGTCTTTTTGGAGCCCCATGTTGCTGCGACCTACTGTATGTGGAGCGCGAAAGCGACTTGTTCATACCTCGACGCATGGTGTGAAAGCCCGCTGCTTGCGCCGAAATTACAGGTGGACTTTTCTCATTTGCTATTTCTCACGCGGGGGAGAGTGCGCTGACCTGTCATCTACTGCTGGAGGGCTTCTACAGTTACACGCTGGAATTTCCTATCTCCTGCGTTGGGCAGAGGGGCTAGGCAGCAGTGCTTGTGCAGACTGCAGGTGAAGCCAAATTTGACACTGAAATCCTGGCACAAGCATTTGTACTGTACTTATTTTTACGCCCCAGTCGTGCAACACTGTATCAACTCGTCGACTTTCTGACTGTAATTCCCAGAATTTCAAATGTGACACTTTCACTCCAGAATTTCAAAATGCCCGGCTTCAGGAGTTTTGGGGAACCAAACTGCTCAGCAAGACTATTCTTCGCAAACCCGACCGAGTCCACAACACGCTTTTACGAACCGCTTTTGCGTGTGCCGTGGTACCCTGTGATAGGTCCACGCGGTCGGCCATACGACAGCGACGCGAAATGCCTCGCTTTTATCGCATGAACGAGCCTCCTCCCCAGCCTCCCCTTCCAAGCGAAACGCCCTCGCTCCAACCACGAAAATGCCCCTACTCGCTGTGATGTCACGTCACATTCCATCGCTCCTTGCCGTAGTTAAGGCCTAGTCTTGAGGTCGGTTAGGTGAAAGTTGTCGTCATCCACTGGCTCTCGTCTAAATCTGGCTCCGAATCAAAAGCATTGGCACTTTGTTGTTAGTCTTTCACCACGGAAGTTTAGCGCCATCTAGCATTCTTTCCTCCAGTCTTCATTCCGAAAAGGCATTTTATCTTCGAGCAGGGCTTTCTGCTGCTCTTTGTCGTGAGGCATTTCTCCGCGCTGCAGTTGTAAACTCTTATTTTTCCAGACACTTTGAAGAGGCATCGTACACTGCAAAATATATATTAATGCCGAATGCTTCCCTTTCAATTCCTATCAAAATGGAGACTCCTGATGCCGCAGCGGAGAACCAAGCATCAGCTAAAAACAGTAATGGTGCTACTGGCGGGACTCGGCGCACTTGTGATGTGCTAGAGCCTTCCTTGTCGGCTTCCGGCAATGCGTCCAAGCGGCTACGACACTCTTACACGCAGAGTGCAAACCCAGCCCCAAAGCTTCTTCCTGCTGAATCTACGGAATTGGCTCAAGTTCGTCCGAACACCGTTACGGCAGAAACGCCTTCATTAATAAGCTCTAATCTTCATGTGCCTCCAGTCTTCCCGGAGCTTCAACGACGGCTCGAAGAATCATTCGATCTGGATTCCGACATTCTAGGCGCCGGTCAATTTGGCACGGTTCGACGGTGCGTTTGCAGGGAGACGGGTCAAGCTTTCGCGTGCAAGACGATTCCCAAGTCGCGTCTTCTCGACCAATTCGTGAGACATGAGGTGAAGATGGAGGTGCTGCTCATGCAACATCGGTTGAATCGGCTTCTTTCTTCGCTGGGCCCCAACGCACCCTCAGCGGGCAACACGAGCGCTACTGTTTGCGATGATAAATTCTTGGCGAGCGCCGCGCGACCAACTGAAGACCCGCCGATGCGCGTGGTGCATTCGTCGCCCAATGCTGCAGCAACCAGAGCAGCGACACATCCGGCGATAGTGCAGCTCCATTGGGTCTTCGAGGACGATGTGGGAGTTCATCTCGTCATGGATTTTTGCGACTCTGGCGACCTGTACGACGAAGTTGTGCGACGGGGAAGGCTACCCGAAAAGGAATCGGCGCTTCTGTTCCGACAAATCGCCTCAGCTCTCGCGTTTTGCCACTCAAGGGGTGTGATGCATCGCGACATGAAACCAGAAAATATCCTGCTCCATAAGCAAGGAGACGCTTCTAACCGGTTAACCGTGAAACTTGCTGATTTTGGACTCGCGATTCCGCTTTTAGCCGGCGAAACTACTCGAGGAATCTCGGGTTCGACGTTTTACATGGCGCCTGAGGTGCTCTCCGGGGAGTACGGGCATTCTGCCGATGTGTGGTCGCTTGGAGTTCTCCTCTTCACAATGCTAAGTGGTGCCGTTCCTTTTCTCGGGGATGACAATAGTGACTCCACAGAGGCCGTCTTGAATGGACGTCTGGATTTTTCCTCGCCGGAATGGGCGACAATCTCAGTCGAAGCGAAAGGGCTGATTCGTTGCATGCTGCATCGAGATCCTCGGCGACGTCCGACCGCTGCGAAAGTCTTATCCCATCCGTGGGTGCTGCTGAACGTTTTTGGCGGGAGAATTGTTCGGAGAACCGTTGCTCGTCCCCTTGAAAATGCCGCCGATTCTCGGGAGAACAAGCCCAATGTAGACGCACGAGGCCTGCAACAACAACACTTCCTGCCACGAGGAATGCAAGGACGTGTTTCTTTAGCACAACTGCAGCAGCAGCCTGCAGTGGCAGTTCTTGGGGATAGCTTGTGCCTTGACCAAGAGCAGCAGCGCACAACCCAAGATGCTTGCCAGGGGCATCTTCATGCGCTTGTAGCTATGGTCCAGCCTGGGGATTTTGTGAGAACCTCTGCCTGATGATATACATGTATTGTTCAATGGTTTTACTAGTTCTGTGTACATGTTACTAACGTATATAAAACTCCTGTTAATCAGCAACAGGCCCGAAATCTCATTTGGCTCCTCCCTTGTGGCAAGGTAAGCCTGCTATATTACTCTTATCCTTGGTTTAGTGTAAGTACCTTAGGAAAGTGTACATGATCTGGATCATAGATGCACACCACTAAAGAAGACACGTAAGGGAATTAGGATACTTTGATTTTTTGTTTTCAAAGGTCATGCCTGGCTCATATGGTTTACATGGGAATGATGTATAACCTGCATATACGCCGGAGAGTATACGGGAAATCTTTGAACCCGTCGTGTACGATTCAGTTTAATACGTCAAATTTGGCGTTCGGTTCGTGAGAAGACCAATAAATATCAGAACTTGAAGTCGCTGTGGAGATCTCCTCGGACACGTGAGCACAACCGTCCCAGATGTCTGCTAAATACCGAAACTTTTTCGTTGGTCCCAGCTTCTTTGGAATATGTTCTCTCTGATTAGTTCGCTTGGTCGCGGTTTGCTTTCCGCCACCACTCTTGTGCAGACCGCCAGTTCGTATCACGCGGCCCGTTTCCAAAGCTTCGATCTTGGACGGTCAGGAGATGGGCAGCTCATGCAGATTTGGCGGAAGATCCTTGGTAGCATGAGCTCATAATTGCGAGTGCACCAATAGAGCGGAAAATCTATGCGCTGGCACTGGACTTGTTATTATATCGAGGGAACAAGGGGCAGACGCGTTAACTGTGGCCACACATGCCAGCCAGCAAATTTTGGCAGACTGTTTGGGTGGTTTTGGTGTTCAAACATTTGCTTCTGCCCCGGGTTGGTCCTTGTCCCTGCAACGCACCCAACACCGTCCAATGAGATCTTCTTGAGGCTTCGCAAGGGGGCCTCGCCCCTCCTCGCTTCCTTCCCCTTCCCTTCATAACTTCGCAAAGATCCCCCTGTCATTTCTTTCCCCGCGCATGGACCCCTTTCGTTTCCGCTGGTTGCATTGCATGTCTCCTCCTCCCCCCTTCAGTTTCCGCCTCGAACTTCCCCCATACCGCCCCCTCCGCCTCACCGTACTTCCATCCTCCCCATGCCCTCCACCTTCAAGCCCATTGGCGTTTGATGGTCTTGCCAGTTCCCATCTGAGCCGTTCATCCTCATCCATCAGGATCCACGCAAGCGTTCTAATCCCCATGCCCCGAGTATTTCTTTGTATCAAGCTCCACAACTTTTATTACCTCGCCACATCTCAGCAGTTGTCATTGCCCTCAAGGTCTTCAATGCTTCATAGGCTTTTTCTACTAGCGCCTTGAGCAGGACGAAGGCTCTCAGGTGCATCACTCTCAGCAATTGAAATCAAGTCTACCACTCTGAGCTCTTCCTGATAAGCGCGTGTCTCCACCACAGTTTCTGTTTGGACGCACGACACCATGTCTAAGCCTGTCGCCATGGGCAGCCTTCGCGCTGCCAGTCGCGACAGCATGTCTTCCACGTCCTTCTTATCTCACCTAAAGCTCCGGCCTTCAACTTACCGCGGCTCGACTTCCGTATCTTTCCGCGTTGGTCCACCAATCCGCGCGGTTCTGGACAAACCTTCGAGCAACACCAGTGGTGGAAGCAGCGGCAGCACCAGCGACAGTGGCAGCGGGAGCCGCTTCACCCGAAGAGGTACCGGCCAAGATTCACTGGACATCGCTCGCGCCGCATTGGAACGTCTATTCTCGCAGAACTACCGCCAAGATCACAAGACCGAGGTGGATTCCACGAGGTTTCTTGAAGATGCGATCGCGCAGCTCGAAATGGACCTGTCTACGGTCTTCGAAGCCATGCGGGAGAAAGAAGAGGAGCTAGCCGAGGCTGAGCAACGGCTGCTGTTCGACCGGGATAACCTCGAGACGGCGCGCGAACTCATCCAGGAACGTGAGGCTCGTCTTGCCGAAAACCAGACGTCTCAGTTGTCTTTGCGGGAAGACGCGGAGAAGATCCGTTCGAAGCTGGCGGAGCAGACGGAGGAGCTGGTAGCGGCTCGCAAGGAAGTCGACTTGAGGAATAAGGAGATTCGCGAGGCCAAGGAGGGGTTGGGTAAGAAGGAGGAGGAGATCTCTCGAGCCCATGCGGCGATCCGAGCAAGGAATGAGAAGTTGAGGCTTGCCGAAGCTCAGCTGCAGGCTCAGGAGAGCCAGCTTGTAGCTTCGACAGCGGAGGTACGGCAATTGCGGTTGGATCTCAGATCTGCGGTTGCCGAAAAGAAACGGTTGCAGGAGGAGCTGGAGGATTCGCAGAAGGAGCTGCGTCGGCAGGAGGGTAAACTGACGGCCATGGAATCAGATTTGGAGAAAAGAGGCGGCATTGTGACAGCTGCGCAGAAGGAGATAAAGATTCTTCAGAAGCATCTGAAGAACTCCGGAGTAAAAGGAGAGGCTGCGTCTCGGGAGCTCGCTCAAGCGAAGTCAATGATTGGTGCGGTGAAGGCCGAGTTGAAGGTGTCTAACGAAGCTCTGAGCAAATTCCGTTCCGAGGTCCATGAGTTGAAATCCGCCGTCTCGAGACAGGAACGCGAGGCGACCAACGCGTCGATGCTTTTGAAAAAGCGGGAACGGGAGCTCGAACGAGCAAACGCGGAACTCGCAAAGGAGAGGGCGACGTTGCAAGCAGTCCGCGCCGCGGTTCTGGATCTCGAGACTAAGTTAAAGCACGAGATGGACGCCTGCGAGACGCTCGCAATGGAGGTCCGGGACGCGCGGTCGAGGCTTCGCACAGCCATGTCTGAAGCTTCCGAGCTCCGTAAATCCGTCCGACAGGCGGAGTCAGAACTCTCAGACGCCAAAATCACCCTCCAGCTTAAAGAAGCAGAACTCGTGGGTCTCCGCCTGGAGCTACAAGAAAGTGCATCGGATCTGTCTATAGCGAAGCAGGACCTCAAATCCCGGTCAGAGGAGCTCGACGCCGCGGCAAGCGCGCTGGAGGGACTTCGCCGGGAGCTGGCAGCAGTGAAGCTGGAGCTTCAAGTTAAAGATGAGAGAGTCGCGGCGTCGGATAAGGCTCTAGAGATGCGGGAGGAGACGATTGGGGCGATGGAGGTGAAGCTGGAGGGCAGCAACGCGCGCCTGGCGGCGGCGGAAACCGTCGTGGAGCAGATTGCGGAGCTCTCGCGCAAGCTCGCGGATTCCGCGCTCGCCGCCGGGGGTTTCGACATGGGGGTGCTGACGTCCGGGAGAGCGGTGCAGAGCGGTGGGGTGGGGTCGGTGGGGTTGAGAGGCGGGAAGATGCTGGTGGGGGAGAGCGTGCTGCTGGCGGAGACGAACCGAGAGCTGTTCGCGGCGAGCCGAGCGCTGCTGGAGAAGGAGCATGGGATGCAGCTGCTGCAGGTAGGCCCTACTGACCTCCCCGACCTGCTGCTTCATATACACCTAATTTTCCCTCCCCAACTCTCCCCACCCCGTTCCCTTCCTCGCACTTGCTTTCCATCTCTACTTCTTTCTACGTCTCTCTCTCGTGCAGCCCCCTCTGCCCGGCCTCCTTGGCCTTTTCGTCTCCCTTTGCCTCATTTTGTTTCATTCTTATCCATCCCTTGGCCGACCCCTCATCCCAAGCAGGAGCAGGAGCAAGAACAGAGGGAGCAGAACGAACGTCTATTGGAGCAGCTCCGGGCAGCAAGGGCAGCGCTGGGAGAGAAACAGATCGAGCTGGACTCCGTGAAATCCCTCCTAGCCGAGCGGGAGGAGGAGATCCGGCAACTGACGGCGCGGTGGGAGGAGCGGGAAGCTGCGCTGACGGCCATGCGCGCGGAGGTGATCAGCGGAGCCAGGGAGATCGCGCAGCTGCGGGACGTTATCAAATCCGCCTCCTCACGCCAAGCAGGGCAGCAGGGCGAGGGGGTGGAGAAGGTGTCGCAGGCGGATTTGGTGGCGCATGAAGTGGTGAAGCTGGAACTCGAGGTGAGCTCACTGAATCCATGCCACAGCCATACTACTGAATCCATCCCACAGCCTGCCTGCATGAGCGCCCTCAGTCCCCTCCTGGAACCTCCCACGGCCTTTGTCTAGTGCTGGCCTTGCACCTTGTCGAGGCTGCCCACCCACTGCCCTTGTACTCAAACCATTTCCCATTTGCCCCCTTCCCGTTCCTCCCCTTGCGCCTTTCCCTCCCACCTTGGTGTGTCCAGGTGGCGAAAGTTGAGGTAGAGACCGCCATGTCAGCTCTGCAAGGCTTGGCTGATCTCAGTGCCCAGCTCAAGGCAGATACAAACGACCGCCCGCTGCTGCTTCCCGCATCCTCGCTCGGTTCCTCTACTGCTTCCGCCAGTCAACTACACGGCTCTCGCCCTGCTCTGGCCTCTGCCTCTGCTGCTGTCGGCGTATCAGGGAGTGCCGCCCAACAGGGAGAGGAGCAGGAGCAGCAGCAGAGGTTGCAACGGCAGCAGGAGCGGGAGGAGCGGAGGCAGAGGGAGGAGGAGCAGGAGGAGGCGAGGATGCAGCAGCAACTGCAGGAGCGGGACAATGCGCTGCGCATGGCGGTGCGAGCCATGTCCAACCTCACCCGCCTCACTCAGAAGCTTGCAGCTGACGCCCAGGCAGAGCTCTCAGGTGAAGAGCCCGTGCTGCAGATGTAGGCACCAGCTGGTGCAGCTGTGCTGGTGGCTGTGCTGCAACTGTGCGAGTCATGTCCAACCTCACATGCGTCACACAGAAGCTTGCAGCTGACGCTCAGGCAGAGCTCTCGGGCAACGAGCTGGTGCTGCAAATGTAGATCCATAGTTCGGGTGGCTGTGCTGCTGGGTGAATGGCACAACCCCTCGTGATCTTATGTTCCTCTCTTGCAAGCTGATAGCTGATGCTGAGTAAGGCAGGGCTCAGGCAGGAGATAAAGCATGGGGCTTTCGTGGGGAATTGGATCAGGGGGATGTTTTTATGTGCTTGTGCTGTCTGTATGCTATGAGGAAAGACTGGTGCATGGTGAATGTTGGTCTGCTGCAGCTGTCCCGCACTGGTTGATGATACTTATAGCTGCTGGATTGGATCCTGTTCATGTGCAGTGCACATTGCAACTGGACATGTGCATGCTTTCTGTTGGGTCTTAGGCATGCTGTATGTTATACTCTCATGGCTTGTGGTCGTGTTGGTGCTTCTATAAATGTAGGCTACCTGTCCTGTACATGTTGGTACCATCTACTGCTTCACATTGTAAGCACACATGCAAAACTGCCACTGACCTCTCTGTAGGGTATTCACAACCCTTGTACAGGAGATATCAACACCCGACCCAGTTCCGTACTAGCAACATTAGTCTAAACAAACTACCCTCAGCAGGTGCACTGGTGGTCAAACATTCCGCTCAGGACATGTACCAGTGTCCGAATCAATTGTAACACTAAGGGCGGGTCCAGCGAGTACGTTTTCCGTACATTACAGTTCATCCAGTGTGGTAATCTGTATTTCGTCACGATTTAGAACGGTAAAGTTTCAAAACCGCTGTGCACCGTGTAATAACTTATCAAACCACGACAGATGAACTGTATAGTACCTGTAAACGTACGCGCTGGACCCGCCCTTACTTACATCATAGGTGTCCGAATGCCGAACTGCACGTGAATGTCGCAAACCGCATTTATCATTGGGTGACGTGAGAGACGGAACAGTCGCTGACTAATTGCACGCCAGCGCAACACACATTAGCCATCGCACGCGGTGCCAAATGTCAATCCAGGCTGCATGTACCTGGTCATCATTCAGCAGTCACGGCTATCAGTAGCAACGCGTACATTGCAGCGTGATTGGTCAAACCGAACTCCTTCGGAATTATTGAGTGGGCCAGTCACAGAGATAGCCAATCAAAATCGTTCACATATAATTGTTTCGCAGTCGTGCAGGGTCGCAGTACATTTATCCATTGGGACATGAGGTTCCAAGACATTTGAGGGCGACTCGGGCAAAAAGTGATTCGGACACTTTCTAAGGGTATATGTCCTGAGCGGAATGCACCCTAAGACCATAGCACATGGCCATCTTAATGTCATTCTGCAGCTTTGCAAGCTTCACCGCAGGTTTACGCCCCACTACACCACCAGGTGACCACTCAGTTGCAATGGCGCAAGGCTTTGGTGCACCCAAAGGTGACTCCCCACAACCCTGTCCACTAATCTCTAAGCCGCTGCGCCTTTAGGGTACACTAGACCGTAGAGCATCGCTTTCTTTATTGCATTCTGAAGCTTTGCCTGCTCCACCACAGGCTTATGCACAGCACCACCAGGTGACTGCTCAGGTGCCTTTCCAGCTGCTTCCTCAGGATCTCCAATCTCCAAGAAATATTTTTCCAGCCCGCCCGGCATACAGACCACCAGCATCCGGGCAGGTCGGTCGGAATTGTTGTGGAAAGAATGTGCCCGGCCAAGAGGCATGTGCATGAAACTGCCCTGACTGGCTTGATAGGTTCTGCGGGTTTAAGGTATACAAACGAGATAGGTGAGAATGGAGAGGATGGGAACACACTGTAAGGATGGTGTTGAAGGGGGCATGGTAACGACTGGTAAAGATTGGAATATTGAGACTTGATAAAATGAGACCAAGCAACCCCTCAACTCACCTGCCACGCCACCATCTCAGATTCCACCACAGTGTATCAGAGCAACTCACAGAATCACACGTGTACAAAACCATCAAACCTATATTCTCCCCCCCTCTCAATCTCCACCTCTCTTCCCCCCTCACCCCCTCCCCCCCTTGCTCCATGCCGCTTTGCTCACTCGGTTATCCAAGTCTATCCAAATGTAGTTCTTCCAATACTTATACCTGGCCTAGACCCCATGTCACATGCTCGTAGAACTCACTCTTTCTCGATGGTCCACGTCATCTGCCCGTCCAGCAGAAACCATGCCTCGTGCTCCCGCGTGTGAATGTGCTCCTCTGTCCCCTCCCCTGCCGGAACCTCGTACTCAATCACACTATACGACCCCCCCGTCTGCTCCGCCTCGGCTTTAATTCTCACTCTCATCCCCATCGCATTCACCACCTTCCCGCCGCCCGCGTCAACCAGTCCTGTCGCAGCGTGAGGACAGCTGGCGGTTTTGTCCGTGTCTGGAGCCATGGTGGTGGCAGTTTCGCCGCCCGTGCCCGTGGCAGGTTCAGGTTCAAGTTCTGCCAGCCTGGCAGAGTCCAGCCTATCCATAGGTGCCACGTTTGCAAGCTCCCCAAGCAATCCTTCCGTGCTTCCAATCTGTACATTAGTAGGTCGACCCAGACTCACATAACCCTTCCCATCCAAATCATCTACCCACACCGCCCCTTCCCCTCGCCCCCCATTTTCCCCTGGTTCTCCCCCGTTCCCATTCCTCCCCGCCCCTTCCCGCTCCCCCTTCCCCCCCCCCGCGCCTCCTCCCTGCATGTCTCCGCGCACTGCCCCGATATGTTCGGCCATGCTGCGCTCTGATTGAAGGCTGGGCGCGGTTTCCACCTCTGGTGCACGGCTTTTCCCGCCCAACGCTTCCCCCGATTCCCCCGCTTCCCCCGCTTCCCCCGACTCCCCAGTCCGCCCTTGCGCCTGCCAGCTTCCCCCTCCACCTTCAAGAACCTCCGCGCGCCCCTCCCCTCCACCTGTGCTCCCGTCGTCTTTCACATCTGTGTCCCTTAACTCGCTGCGCCCGCCAGAATTAAACGAAGCAGAGGGCTGTCCGTCGCGGCGCCCTGTAACGTGGCGCGTGCTGATTTGCTGGCCCGTTCCCGGCGGGAACGACGCGGCTGCAGCTGACGTGGCAGTCGCTGCCACGTGGAAGAAACGCGAATCCAACACCTCCTCCACTCCCCCGTCCATCATGTAATCATGCGCCGTGAATTCAGCCGTGGAAACCGCCGCCCTCTCAAGAACCATCCCTTCCCCGTGAGTGGGCAACGGCGAGGAGGGGGGGGAGAGGGACGAGGACGAGGACGCAGCGGGGGAAGCGGGGGACGGAAGGGTTCCGGGGGCGCTGCTGACGGCGGAAATTGAGAATTGGCGGAAGCGAAACGGAAGTGCATGGCGCATGGGCGGAAACTGCTGCGGAGACTCCCGCGGGTTTCGCGGAAAGCTGTAAGCTGTGGTACGGCGGTCAGCAGAAGGGACCGTTAATTCCACGACCTGCGATTGTCAAGAAAACAACGTTCATAAAAAAACGATCATGCGCTTGCACAAAGGATAAGGGGCATATATAAAAATAATATATGTACAAGGCGAAACGACGGTGGCGTGCCTTAAGATGGAGTCGCGAAACCTTCCGTGATGCTCGGTGCGCTAAGGCGCAGTAGCGGGCCGCCATGGCGTGTGAAACCAACAATTGGAGAGCTGGGAACTACTATTTTGGGACAATTCCCACGGGAAGATAACGCGTCTAGATCTTACGCGGGAAGTTAACGCGGGAAGTTACCAATGGGAAAAGATAACCCAGAGGCACCCCCGAGGGCACAACGCCGCGTTTAGATTCAACGAGAGCCTCTCACACGAACCCCTCAAGACAACTCTTGCTTTTTTTGCGGGAGCTGGAGGCGCCAAATAGAGATGTTAGCGAATGCCCCGCTTGCAACGGTGCTTAACTCCCTGTGAGGAGCTAGCACGCGGTTACTCCCGCCCCTTGTTGATACTAGGCGACTTCTATCGGCCTTTATTGAAAAGCTATCCAATCCCTCTCGCCCCTTATTGTAAAGTTAGTCGATTCCTCTCGCCCCTTATTGTAAAGTTAGGCGATTCCTCTCGCCCCTTGTGAGCGCGAGAAGTGCAAGCACGAGAGACGAGAGGAAAAACGCTGGAGCGTCGCGATAGTATGTGGGAGAAGAGAGTGGATGCGAGGGAAAGGCCGGAAATATATGTGAGCAAAACGCGCTACACCAGGCAATGGTGCCCGTCGTCATCTCGTCACGAGTCACGACGACTCCCACCATCCCGCCAAAATCCCCAGCCAGCGCAGGAAATGAGACTGACTGAATCGTCGAGACAAGCGACGGGTAGTCAGTCGCATTTCCTGCGCCACGCCATGCGGTGTGTGCGCATGGCATGTGCGGGGCTTCATCAGCCCTCTGACGTTGATTGGCAATCGTACGGTTCATGTTTATTCGAGATCCTCAAACGTTCCAATTCCAAACACATTCGTGTGCTGTCCCAGGGGAAGAAAAACTGGAAGAGTTAGAATTACTAAGGTCATACAAAACGGTTACTCTCGGTAAAACAAATATCTTAGACTTGCCTGTAGGTTTTGTTCGGTGAAATCCAGCGAAGAAGTGCTGGAAAACAACCACGTGGTTTGAGATCTCACGAGCATCGTGTCATCCCCACCCGTGCTGGCGCACATATTCATATCGATGACGCAACGCATGCGTGCTGCGATCCATCCAGCGTGGTTAGTGCTGTGAATGACGTGCTGAACGCATTTCACTCGCCAAATCAGAACAAAGGAACTTTTGATGTTACTGCGTTATAAAATACTCCACACACAAGTACAAGAGTCGAACTCGCCTTGTTAGACTCAATATCACGCGCAATTGTGCATATTCAATGTCCAATGACAGCTAACTATATTCCATGCCACTGAGCAATTGATATTGCCACCAATTCCAGGTGTTATGACTCGTCTTTTTTGCTGTATATACT